AGAAAGAAAGAAAGAAAGAAAGAAAGAAAGAAAGAAAGAAAGAAAGAAAGACAAAGAAAGAAAGAAAGAGGTTTTGTTTCAACAAATTGCCAATAAGTTCAAAGTAACAGCCCCAACCAATCAAATTCCAAATTCTGGCCCAAAAGTACAGATGCACAACAAGACGGTCCCTTGACTGTAGAGTCAGGTTTCATGAAATCACTTATGAAGGTAAATTGGTTCCACAGAGGAATAAGCATAGTGACCCCCTGACATCAATTAAAAATTTAAATGTGGGGGCACCTGGGTGGCTCCGTCAGTTAAGTGTCTACCTTAAGTGTCTATCATGACCTGTCTGCTCAGGTCATGATCTCATGGTTCGTGGGTTCGAGCCCCATGTCAGGCTCTGCTGTCCATGCAGAGCATGCTTCAGATCCCCTATCCCCCACCTCCAACCCTCCCCCACTTGTGTGTGCGTGCTCTCTCTCTCAAAAAAAAATTGAAGTGAGAAATACATAAATTAGAATATTTTTAATTAATTCGCACAGGAAACATAAGCCAAAATGGACTGTACAAAGGCAAAGCATCGCAGAGACAGATACTGGCATGAAGTAACCACCAGAAGCTGGGAAAGACGAGGAATGAATTCTCACCTGAGGAAACAGTTACTTTAGGATTCATAAGGAAATGGGGAGAAGACTACTGAATAGCTATATGCCCTAAGATACTCTGAATTATGGAAAATTGTAAATGATCAAACACTTCTTACATTCTGTATTAGGTCAAACACTTGCATGTCACGTGTCACAAAAATTTTAAAACCACGAATACTATCCTATCCCCGGCTCTCCCAGTCTAGCAAGGAGGAGGTTCAGACACAATCAAGTACAAGGGTCAGAAGGAAGTCTGAACAGAGCGCTGAGGAAGAATGGAGGGAAGAAGTCATTAATGCCACGTGAAAAGGAGGGAAGGGAGGGGCTCGGGGGAGTTTCTGAGAACCCGACACTCGAACAGAACCGGACGGAATGAATAATACTTCACCAAGTACCGAAGAAGAGAAAAGTGCATTCTGGAGAAGTAAACAGCAGCCCACACTTCCCAGCATGTCGAGATGTGTCCTAGATAACTGAAGCACCATGGAGACCATCTGGGAGGCCCTGAATGGCAAGGCCTTTGTAAGAGATAGAGAGGGTGCATCGAGGGGGTGATGTTTTTGAAAAGGGACTTGCTAATCTCTATAACTCAATATATAGGACTGAGGCCAATTGTCCGGGTACAGGTAAGACGGATAAGGAGGCAGAGATGCCCAAGGGCTTGGCAAGCTTGACCGTGGCTCAGGAATAGTCAGGAGCAGGGTTTCCATGAGAATTAGCAGGCCCACATTTGGTGAGTAAAACCACCGTGGGGTAGTAGTCTGCGTAATGGCCTCCGAACGTGACAGATCCTAATTCCTGGAAACTATACGGGTTCCCTTCCGTGGCAAAGATTTTGCTGTTGCAAGTAAGTATCCAGAGATGGGGAGATTATTCTGGATGATCCACCTGAACCCTAAATGCAGTCACAATTATGCCTCTGAGAGGAGGGTGGAGGGAGAAGACAGGGTGGCCATGGAGGCAGATACTGGAGCGAAGCAGCCACTAGAAGCTGGAAAAGACGAGGAACAGATTCTCCCGAAAGAATTCCCCTGTGGGGAAAGTGGTCCCGTGAACACCTAAACTTCCAGTGTATTGATTAAGCCACTACGTTTGCAGAAATTGATTACAGTAATCGTAA